GTTGGCGCCATACCCTGGGTGAGCCCTCAGTCAGCCCGTACCTCGAAATGATTTTGTTCTCAACAACTGGTCAGCACCCTTTGGAGACAGCATGTGTCTCCTTTACTTAGAGAAAAGCGTTCTGATTCTATTTTCAGATAAGTCTTTAGACTCATCCTCCCACAACCCCTTAACATGAGATTGTGTGGGTTATATATTTAACGAACAAGCAGCAGATGTTCTTTTGGTGGTGTTCTTCTTGGGTTAGTGATATTTACCCGGCAAATATTACTGAATTCTCCCTTCTATAAACAGTATGTTTAATTCATAAATCATACATTAAAGATACTTGCGTTGGCATTATGCATATAAAATCTGGTGAAGTACTGAAGTCTGTAGCTTAGTTAATGGTATTGTACTTGTCAGTGTCCTGGTTTTGCTCATGGACTGTGGTTATGAAAGGTGTTACCCCTGGAGGCAGCTGGAGGAAGAATATACAGGAACACTTCCGTGCAATTTTGGCAGCTTCTTGTGAGTCGTAAATTAAAGTAAAAATTTTTAAAAAAAGGGGGGGGGGCGGGCAAGATGGAATCAAAGAGACCATCTAGTCCAGCTGTTTTCAAACTTTAATTTGAGCAGCAGCCTCCCTCTTCTGCCCCCTCCTACTCTCACCCTTGGAAGCCTCCAGCACACCTCCTGACGCCCATAGGGCTCTGTGGAATACCACTTTAAAAACACCCATCCAGTTCAACACCCTCACCTTCCAGATGGAGAAGTTGGGACCCAAAGAAGTAAACTGACTTGGCCCAGGCTGCACCGCTCTTTAGCGGCTGTTGATAGAAAGACAGAAAGCTGGGGAGTTTTTTAGTACCAGTTGCTCTCTGCAGTTCATTGTGAGTCACAGCTCTTTAGCTAACGCTGTGGTTTCTTCTGTCAGACAAGGTGAGATTAATTAGACTGGAGAAGAGTTTCCATGCTGCCGAGTTCTGTTTGTGTGGCCCAGGCAGTGGGTTCCTCCTCTGACTGAGACAATGCCTGCGGTGCCTTCGGTTGGCGGTTAGTTGCACAAGGTACCGCTCGAGGAGTTTGCCAAGCTCAACGCCTCAGAAAGCCAGCCATGGCGTTCAGTAGCCCGGGACGCAGGAACCACGGGAAGTCTCCGCACTTTCTTGGCCTGTGCTCTGACCACCTGTGGAAGCTGATTACTTTCCCTTCCCATTCAGACCCAAGTCGCTGAAGTATTTTTAGGAAGCCTTGGGGCACCTTGGCGTTTACATCCGTGGATAATAATAATAATCTCCTCTTGTATTTGTTTAGAGATGTTCTGGTTGCAAAGCCCATTCTTATATTTTCCCTAAGTTGAGTCACCCCCCAGCCCATGGCATGTGCAGAACTGCTATTACCTCTGTCTTATAAATAAGTGACCTGACTTTCCCAAGGTTGCACAGTTTGTAAGAGGCAAGGCTGGGTACTGAACTCAGGTCTCCAGAAACCCAGTACCTGCTCTTGTTACTGGAGTCTCTTGTTTTAAACAGACATTTTGGTTTTTGTAAGCACCTGCACACTCCTGATGATCAACAAATAGGTCATGATGTCATTGTCAGTGTTGCTGTTATTCATAGGCATGATCGTTTGCTACTCATATGCAGTTTTGGGGTGTGAAAGACTCCAAGACTTGGTTGGACACCAGACTTTTGTAGGCGGTGGAAGCAATGGTTTCCTCTCTTTCTACACCTTCAGAGCCTGAGGATGCCATATGGGGGTTGCATGAGTAAGGCTTACATTTTCCTGAAAAGTGAAGCAAGTTGTCCGTGTGCCATGTCAACAGAGATCTATGTGACAGCCAACTGGCAGGACAGCCGCCTGGGGCCACCTGGCATGTGGCGTACTCTGGAAGGCTCTGCATGAGCTGCCACGCTTTATTTATTGAGCATTAGTTGTTGATGCCTCGCTTCTTCAGGGGAAACTGGTCACTTCCTCTCCCCCAGCATCCACTTTGCCCTCTACGTTGAAGGACACAACCTTTACTGTCAACACGGGAACTTTTTATTAGTCCTGGCACTGGCCTGTTCCCTCAGCCTTCCACCTAATGTCCTGGGATATTGGAAAACTTGGTGGACTTCTTTAATGGTGGGAATCTAAGCCTGCTCTTCAGACCATATTCACAGCTACTACTTGCTGGAAAAATTAACCTCCCAAGGAAGGTGTTAACTTTTCATACCCTGAGAGACATTTAGTAGGTAAACTGGGGACCTGCCTCAGTAATACTGTTAACTGTCTTCACATGTATGCACTTGGCTCCTGTTAGGCACTTACTACGTATTTGTTGAGTGACCTTCTAAAGCAGTGGTTCTCAATCTTTAGTGTGCTTCCTGCCATCTTTAGGATCACCTGCAGGGCTTGTTAAAATACAGCCCATTAGATCCCACCCCCAGAGTTTCTGATTCAGTTGGTCTGGAGCGGGGGCCCAATGATTTGCATTTCTAAGAAGTTCCAGGTGATGCTGATGCTACTGATATGTAGGAATCATACTTCGAAAAACACTATTCTAGTGCAGAGATTGGAGCCCTGGTATTGTAGTGGTTAAGAGCTTGGCTGCTAACCGAAAGGTCGGCAGTTCGAATCCATCCCCTGTTCCTTGGAAACCCTATGGAGCAGTTCTACTCTGTCCTGTAGGGTCACTATGAGTCGGAATCAACTCAACAGCAACAGGTTTGGAATGCAGTGATTAGAAGCCCAGGTGGCACAGATGGTTCAGCTGCTAACCAAAAAGTTGGCAGTTCTGAACCCACCCAGTGGCTCCATGGGAGAAACACCTGGTGATCGGCTTCTATAACGATTACAGCCAGGAAACCCCTGTGGGGGCAGTTCTTCTCTGTCACGTAGGGTCGTTATGAGTCGAAATCAACTCTACAGCACCTAACAACAATGCAGATTGGCAAAGATTTTCTGTGGAGGGCCAGATAGTAAATGTGCTGTAGTCTCTGTCACAGCAACTCAACTCTGCTGTTGTTCATGAAAGCACTCGTGGGCAGCGTGTAAATGAACGAGTGTAGTGGTGTTCCAATGAGACTTCATTTACAAAAACAGAAAATGGGATTTTTTTTTAAAATTTTCTTTTATTACAAAAAATAAGGCATTAAGAGAGCCAGGTCCTCATCCTGGGTAGATTTCTGAAAGGTCTTGTATGGGAATCAGTGTCACAGACACAGACAATGGTCAAATTCCGGCTCTGTGAATAACCCACCATGTGACTTTGGGAAGGTCATTAACCTCTCCATAAGAATAGGATTGTAATTATACAGTGAGAAATAGAGGGAAATGTTAACATTTATCAAAACTGGGTGGTCTCTATATGAGCGTTTTGTATACTATTTTTTATGCTTTTTGGCATGATTCAAATATTCCAAAATTTTTAAATCTGTATTTAAAAAATAATCATAATAATTCATTGGAGTATATGTGGCTTTGGTTTTAGGTTCTGAAGTCAGTAAAAATGTGAGTTATCTTAAAAAGTCAGAATTACCTTTGAGATTCCTTTAAATCCCTAGGACCTAGGCCTTTAGAAGGTCAAAAGCAAGTATAGCCTTCTTTGTGTTTCTTTGCATTTTGGATCCTAGAGAATGAGGTCAATTTTGAATGGAGAGAAGGGAATGGGGAACAGAAAGGGATCCTAGGTTGGTTTTGTTGATTTGTGCATTTGCCAGCATGTAGTTGAATTAAAAGGATCCCTGGTGGTGCAGTGGTTAAGTGCTCAGCTGCTAACCGGAAGGTCACTGGTTCAAACCCACCAGCTTCTCTGCAGGGGAAAAGACCTAGAGATGTGCTCTCATAAAGACTAATCCACTGCTGTCGAGTCAATTCCAACTCATAGCGACCATAAAGATTACAGCCTAGGAAACGCCGTGGGGCAGTTCTACTCTGTCATATGGGGTTGCTTTGAGTCAGAATTGACTCAGTGGCACACAACAACAGCGGCAACAGTTGAATTAAGGTAATAGGATGCAGCTCCACAATACAGACTAGACTATGCTGCTGGAAGATCTAGTGAGATAATGGACTTCAAGCTCTTGTCCCAGGCCTGGCACACAGCAGATGCTCAGTGATGTTGGAGAGGAGGAGGAGAGGGATATCCTTCTGCACCACAGACCATGAGTTCGTGCAGCCTCTTGCTGAGACACCGGTGTCCGTTTGCATTAACATTACCACATGCAATGTCACATTCAAAATCAAGACATGGAGAAGTTCTGATCTCTGGTTGCTGGCAGCACACATTGTTTCCTTTTTTATGTTGAGCTGAAATGAGGATCACTTTGTTGTGCTCCAAGTCCTACTTGCATTCAGATGGAAGAAAATGTTTACAGCACACTGAGGTATAGAAAGAGTGTATTCTTCTGTATGTGGTATGAATTTTGTGTCATAGCCAGTTGGAGAATTCCAGAGTCTTTGGACCTGTGCTTTTCCAAATCTCATTTGCTTGCAAAGAAATATAACATTTAAAGATCTTACCATGGAGTACAAGTGATGCTCCAGGAGAGTTGACCCACATTTGTCCTGTGGTTGTGAGTGACTTCTGACCCATCACCAATGGGCATCATTCAATTCAGCTCAACAAATGCACCCTGATTTTGTGCCTACCCTGTGTGGCAGCCTGTGACTGCATTGGGGTACTGGGGATGCAGATAACTGAGATGTCTAAGACATTGTGCTTGCCCTCAAGGGCTTTGATGGCTATAGGTCCAGAAGTGATCACTTTGGTGGAAACCCTGGTATTTGCAAATGACACTCCATAAAAAGAGGAAATGTGGGTATTTGTTACATGGTCCCGTATGGTCAACCTATTAAAACGCTGTGTGGCAGAAAGTCTCCACCACCCACTGTGTGACTCAGAGAATGGTCCACAGCCTGGTACTATCCAACCTTGACAGGGGGATGGAAAGTGGTGGGGCCAGGGCTTAGCTTAATTTAAAAATGTGGTCCTTTCATGGCTGGAATGAATGATGTGTTTCTTTTCTCCCTAGGACCCGAGGAGCAAGCACAAGTTTAAAATCCACACTTATGGAAGCCCCACCTTCTGTGATCACTGTGGGTCATTGCTATATGGACTTATCCACCAAGGGATGAAATGTGACAGTAAGTAAGTTTTCTTTTCTGGTAGATGAGGACGCTCTGCCGCTTATGCTTAGGATTTACCGAGCACTTAAGGCCCAGTAACTTCAACACCAACTCATCAATATAGAGAATTAGTCCAGATATATATCAAACTAAAATAACCTAGAATCGTTCCATTGTTGAAGTTTTGATTATTAAATGATTTCATTACCTAATTATGAACCCATAAAAGGTATCTACTTATAAATGAAATTGGTGCTGTCACATTCTTTTAGTGGTAGAAATCTTCAGTCATCGTAAAATCTAGACTAGTCAAGCCCCAAAGCAAGCACCTTCCCCATGCATTGAAATAAGACTCTCCCCACCTCCAGATTCCACATTTGGTTAGGCTTCAGTATAAGCAAAGCAACCATAGTCATTATCTTGCTATGTCTCTAATTAGTGGGTGGACTGTGGAAAAATCCAGTAGGCACTTCTTAAAGCTGAAACCAAAATTAAAATAAAAACCAGGATAGCATCTTACTGAAGTTCACCCATACTTTATGTTTATGGAGAGATAAACGTTCTATCAGTCCATTTAGAGAGAAATCCCTGAAGACCATGAGGAGGAAGACACCAGTGCTTTTCCATTCTCCTGGTTTGTAATGTATGTGTCTTCATCAGATACCATGGGGAAAGAAAAACAATTACAGAAACTCTGTTCTGATGCTTCTTAAGTTATGATTTCCCAGGCTACTTATTTGTTTCAATAAGAGATTATGCCTTTAGGACATAAAAAGGTAATTACCAACCTTGCTTCTCTGACAGGGATGAGATATGGAAATGTCATCATATTGTCATTCATTAGTGACTACTGTTGTGGCAGAAATCTTTATGTCTGTATCGTACATGGAGTAAGCACACATACACACAAACACCAAGATATGTGAACATTGTAGAGTAGATGGATTGTGGTATCATTAGCTGATATTGTGGAGTCGGCCCCCAACTTATGGCGACCCCATGCACAGTGGAACAAACATTACTCAGTCCTGCGCCATCCCCATGATAGAAGTAGATGGGACCCTTGTGATCCACAGGACTCTCATTGGCTGATTTTCTGAAATAGGTTACCTGACCTTTCTTCCTAGCCCTCCTAGTCTGGAAGTGCCGCTGAAATCTGTTCAGGATCATAGCAACACGCAAGCCTCTGCTGACGGGGGGTACTGACTGCACATGAGGTACATTCGCTGGGAATCAAACCCAGGTCTCTCCCATGGAAGACAAGAATTCTTCACTTAATAAAGTTATAGAATTTAATGGCCTAACAAAACCTCTGTGATCATTCAGGCCAGTGGCCGTCTGTGATTCAAGAACCCTAGGATTCTAAGCATGGTTTTCAGGGGTTCTGCAAATGCTAATTCTAAGTGCATTTATAAATATACTTTTAACTATTTTAAAATTTGGAACAAAAATGAACACTTGAATGTGTTGCATACTCAACCTTGACACCTCTGAGATCATACCAGAGACAGAACTTGCAATCAGGTTTCTTCTGCCTTGTCCGTCTAGCTGCAGAGTCTGCTGAGATTGTTAGGCATGCTGTTCAACACTGTTCTGTTTGCATAGACTCTTCTGTGTAAATCAGGATTTTTGGATTCTGTACAACGTTAAGAAAATACAGAAATAAATGCGATGGTGAGGCTGGTCTAAGACTACAACTAGCATCCCAGCAGCTGCTTCCAAACAGCTGTTTTGATCAAAGGACTTTATTGGTTATCCCTGAATGTCTTTCTAATATATAAATGGTATAAATTTGAATTTCTTAACTCAGTTTATGCTAATACAATAACATTCCTCTGGCTTGTATATTAGAATTCTGCTTTAGATTTTGTTTGAAGAGAGGGTTCCATTATGAAAAAATCTTGAAAAATACTGACATGGACCAGTGTATTTTGATTTGTTTTATACTCTTTTCCCTGGGGTTCTCATGCTTCTGGGGCCACTGCCTGTGTTCCTTTCTGGAAGGAGGAGGAAAATAAGCAGGTGGTACCAGGACCCCGACCCTTATTTTAACTTCCCCAGAGAAGCTTTTTTTCTGTGCCCTTCCATACCCAGCTGTGGTTGAGTTGCGCTGATTCTGACTTTGATGACCCCATGTGTGTCAGAAAAGAACTGTCCACTATAGGGTTTTCAATGGTTGATTTTTCTAAAGTAGATCACCAGGCCTATCTTCCAAGGTGCCTCTGGGTACACTTGAACTTCTGCCCTTTCAGTTGACAACCAAGTACATTAACCATTTATACCACCCAGGGACTCACCCTTACATAGTGTAGGATTAGTCCTATATACCGTTTCACTTGGTGAAAAAAAAAAAAAATTTAGCAAACCACTTGCCTGGGTCTACTTCTTCTTTTGCACAGTAGGAAATGGAATCAGAGAGGGCAGATGAGCTTCCCAGAATATAAAAGCCAAGCCAAGAATATCACCCAGTACACTTCCACCTCCCATGCCGTCTCGGTTTCCCATATCCTTTTGAGAGGCTCTGGCATTTATTTCCTTTAAATTGAAAATTCTACCTAGGTACATAAAGATATGATTTGGCTAACACAAGTCTTATGACACAATGGTTAAGCCCTGGTGACTCAGTGGTTAAGAGCTTGGCTGCTAACTGAAAGGTCAGGGGTTCAAACCTACACAGTGCCTCCATGGAAGAAAAGACTTGATGATCTGATCTCTTAAAGATTGCAGTCCAGGAAACCCGATAGGGCGGTTCTACTCTGTCCTATAGGGTCACTGTGAGCCAGAATCAACTTGACAGCACACAACAGCTCGTTATATTTATAATACATCTTTCCAAATGTCTTTCTCTTGGCTAAATCCAGGTGCATGGTTTTGAACAGTTATCATTGGAAACCAAAGCCTAAACAGAATCCACCTTTGTGAGTCAGCTAATTGTTCTTTCTACATTGGGTCAATTACCCTGCTTCTAGTTCCTAATGGTGGTAGCAAATGTACGTTATTCATAATGCTTTTCAAAATTTACTTTGCCCTGTTAAAATTAACCACTCAAAGTGAGACTGACAGAAATGCTCCATCATGAAGGTTAAGAACAACCTTGTAGCATCCTACCAAGAATTTGGGAGGATTTAATGGCCATCTGCGCTTCTGGAAGCCTATAAGGTACAAGGACAGTAGAACCGGAACACCTGCACAGAGTCTTATGTTTGCCTTCAGCATACAGGATCCTTTTCAGGGTTTCTTTGGTTCATTTCAATAAGACTGATCTTTTTCTGTCCTCCCCCGTCTCTCCCACGTAATGTCAGCTAGCGAGGAGTGGCTTATCATGCCAGGCGTGTATTTGTTTTACTTCGAATAATATTTAAATATTTGAAGACAGGTTTAAAATATCAAACACAGATTCTTTTCTCAAGATAAAAAGAAACAAAGGCAACATATTTTAGCCCCCCTGAAAATACAGGATTAGCTGAAGAAAGAAAAATTTTATGAATTTCCTATACTCAACCCACAGCTTCTCACTTTTTCAGTGATGAACTGAGAAAGGCATAAAAAATTCTTGGGCGAAAAGTATCCTCTGTTTAAGTTTACATATTATTTGTCTCAGTGTACATAATATATTAATTCATCCGTGCTTTGTGCGTGCTTACCTATGTGAATTTTGTATACTGTTAAATGTTTGGAATGGTCACGGAAGACCAAGCAGGAATATTGTGCTTTGGTTAAGACTAGATAAATACGGCATGGGTATTTTAAGGATATTGTCACTCAGATGAAGCCAGTGCTGTAAGGGACATCTGCTAACAGTTCTTTATGTCAGCAAAAGCATTATAGCACATTATCAAGTTAGAGGGGAGCACATTTACACTTGTACACCAAAACACAGAGGAAGTGATGGTTTGCGTCCATATGCCCAGCCTTACCCTCTGCTCTCTTGCTTCACAGCCTGCGACATGAATGTTCACAAGCAGTGTGTAATCAATGTCCCCAGCCTCTGTGGAATGGATCACACAGAGAAGCGAGGGCGCATCTACCTGAAGGCTGAAGTCACTGATGAGAAGCTCCACGTCACAGGTAAGATTCATGAGCTGAGGAACCGCACTCTAGGTGGACGTTTGAGTGAAGGTCAGGCTGACACCAAGGCAGGGTGGGGGCTGTGCCTCCCAAGAGCCATTTGCCATGGTGGACTCATCATGGTTTGCAGTCTCAGAAACTGTCTTCCATTGTCTTGGAGCTGATCAGACTTGGAGCCACTGACTCACATTAACACATCTCCCAAGAGCCTGTCTGTGCACCGGAATTCCCATATACTTGGTTACAATGTCATACAGAGTTTCATTGGGGCACTCAGACAGCATGGGGCATTGGGGCAAGTCGCATTGGGGCACTCTGCACGCTCCCCCAGGTGGCAGAGGCACAGGGAAGCCAATTAATCAAAATGCTGGTGAGAGTGGAACGAGGGCAAGGGGAGGCAGATGGATGATTCACATGTTTAATGGCATCGGGCTGTGATGACCTGGTAAGTCTGTCTCAATGACGACAACAACCACAGCAGCAACTATGGCAGGCATTGAGTGCTTACTCTGTGTCAGGAATAGTGCTAAGAGTATTACGTAGATTAATTTATTTGATCTTCACAACCACCCAATCAGGGTAGCTACTGCTATTAACCTCATTGCTAGATGGGGAAACCGAGGCACAGAGAGATTAGTAATTTGCAGTATCACAGAGTTAGTAAGTACAGAGTCAGGAATGGAACCAAGGCATCTGGACTCCAGAGCTTGTGCTTCCAATTATACATGTGCACCTCCTATAAATGTACTCCAGCTATGGAACCAAAATGCCTAGTCCATGGTCAGGACACTCCCTTCTTCGGGCTGTGTCTAGGCGGGTTTGCCATAGTGGGACTTTTCCTTTGGATTTCCCACCACATCTCCTTTAGCTGTATTGACATACTCAATCAAGGTATCCTGGAGTCTTGTTGGCCTGGGACTCATCCTGTATCCTCATGATGACTTGACTTACCTGTCAATGGCCCACTCCATGTTGACTTATGATTTAACTCTCAGAAGTCAACCTAGTTTCCACTCTCTTGGGGCTCCCTCACTTACCACCCATATACTCTTTTCTTCATCGAGGTTGTTCATTTTCATTTGATCAGCAAAGGTATGTTTCCATTTGCATTTAGGAATTTTAAGCTATCATAAAAAAGGAAAGACTGACTTTGATGTTATTTGGTTGTAATGACAGAAGACATAGGAGAAAGACTGGAAAGGTCTGTTTAAGGAAAGGAGGGGGAGGGAAAAAGGAATTACAGAGTTCCAGAGGAAGCTTACTTTTGGAAACCTCTTCACATTTTTTTTCTTTGAAAAAAACCCAAAATTTTCTAGCTAGTGCTGTCCTCCTAGGTAAGAGTTCAGGGAAAAACAAAGGATTTTTGAGATGTACTAGGAGAGGCAACGTAGTTTGTCCCTGGACAACTTTACGAAACAAAGCAGCTATAGCTAATGGTCAGGATTGAAATGAATGTAGAATCCCTGTCGTGGACATAGATCCCTATTGACTATATTTTAGAGAAGTTCATTTATTTTCTCAAAACCATCTCTCTTGGCACCCTTGCCTTTAGGGCCGTAGCTCTCACCTCCCTTTGACTGAGCTGATGCTATTGACAGAGTCCACTCTGCCCTTCTCTCAGCTGTCAGCCAGGGCCACTCTCCCCAGAGGAAGTGGGGTTCCCCTGGTGTGTATGTCTTTGTGTGTCTTTCTGCGTGTGTGCGTGCATGTGTGTGTGTGTGTGTGTGTGTGTGTGAGAGAGAGAGAGAGAAAGATTGGTTATGACATCGTCAGCCACCTTCACATTCTCATGCTAGTTTCTCTGTCTTCTCCCCTAAGGCTCTTGGATTGTCAAAGCCCCACTTACTGGGGAACATGCAGGTTAGGAGAGAATTACCATAAAACATAGTCTCATCGGGGATAAGGGATTGAGGGGTGAAAAGGAGAATGCCTATTGGCTAGACATTTCTATGTATTTTCTTAGCTTTATGATAACATAGAAAACACCATAGGACAGCGTAACAGACATCACAGGTGAATACTCAGCTTAATTATGAGGTTCATATGTGGTACCTTCTGCCCCACCCCCACCACCCCCCACCGTAAGGCCAGAATGCATGGACAGAGTTTTTAAACGTTCAGCTCTCGTTAGCTAAGCTTCTGAATAAAGTAGAATATGCGTTGTGTATACCAGACTTGCCCTGTGCCTTCTGCTGTAATAAAACCAGCAGTCACGTGGTGCCGCCTGAGTTTGCCGGTCTCTACTCTGAGCTGCAACAGCCCTGCCAATCAAAACTGCACAGAGGGGCACAGATGTCCTGGCCAGAGGAGCAGTGGTGCACCGGTGGAAAAGGTCAGGTCCAAAGAATTGGTTTGTTTCAAAAGGTTGTCCAGACCCTTCCTCACACACCTCAAATTCCTTTGTTTGACATTCTCTGGGTTGTAACCTGTGAACCTCCCATGTCTCTCTTCTTCATTAAAGAGTCTTCTTTTGAACAAATATTAAACACGTAAATGTTTGCTAAACCAGCCTCCAGCACTCCATTAGGTTCTTTGAGGTCAGAGAGGGTCCCATCACTCAGGGGCAGCAGAGTGTCTTCTTCTGGCTCATGTCCTGATAATCCTCCACCATTGCCAAGAGTGGAATTTGACTCACAATTGTAGAATCATCTTAAGGGAACACACCCTTCACTGAGTTGTACATAGACTTTTCAGGCACGGAAGTTGACCAGTAAAGTGTTATGGCAACTATCTGGGCCAAGTCTGTTGAGAATCAGTCTAAATATTATTGTATAGATACAGCTTCTGCTCTAGGAATGTGAATTCAGCAATAGGTTGATAATAATAACTGCTTCTGCTAACCTTTATTGAACTTTTCTCATGAAAAGGGCACTTTATAGGCTCTTTACCTGGTGGCACAGTGGTTAAGTATCTGGCTGCTAACCAAAAGGTTGGCAGTTCGAATCCACCATCCGCTCCTTGGAAACCCTATGGGGCAGCTCTACTCTGTCCTATAGGGTCACTATGAGTCAGAATCGACTTGACGGCAAAGGGTTTGTTTTCTGGTTTATAGGGTAGAAAGTGATGGAGTCAGGGCTTGAGCCCAGGTCTGATTCCCACACACTTGCTTACAATCCCTAAACTATGAACCTCCCATGTCTCTCCTTTTAATTAAAGAGTCTTCTTTTGAATAAATATTAAAGCCATAAATATTAGCTAAACCCATGTTCGGCTCTCCACTAGGTTCTTTGCGGTTACAGGAGGGCTAAGCGTGGGACCTACAACCAGGGGAGAAAAGAGTAACACTTGAGAGAATTAAAGAACAATCTGAGTCCATGTATGACTAAGTGCTAACTTACGTGAACTCTAAATAGTACGTCGTTGGGAGGTGCTGGGGAGGGGAAGGGAGGAAAGACTCTGTGGAGAAGATGTAAAGGACTCCAGAGATATTCCAGATATTGCAGAGGCCGAGCGGGGAGAGCTTCTGTTGAGGAATTAAATGGGATGGAGGAATTGGCCTGGCTTTAATGAGAGCACAAATATAAGCAATAAACCATAACGAGCAGAGCTTGTGGCCCAAAGGCAAACGATTTCATGAAAAATTCAGTTAAACCCTGAGCTCCTGTGTTAATCGCTAGATTTAGCTCAATCTCCATTTTACCTGTGCAGAACTGCTTAGGTTGAAAATAATTCCCACAGTAAAATAGAAACTCTCAGCCGACTCCTGCTTTGGCATTGAAATCACCGTTTCGAAATCAGAGATGAGTTTTCCTTCTGGATCATCGCAATATTTATGGGAAAGGCCTCCGCTTTAGTGGTGTATTTTTATTTTTTGCCTTTGGGCAGCAGTGCTGATGCTATCAGGATAGTATCATTTTTTCCCCTCTTCCAATATGCGATTTTAATAGGTTTCCTACATTCTTGTGTGCTTTTTATTTGGTTTGGAGGAGTGGTTAAAAAAAAAATTTCCCTCATGGGAACCAATTTTCAATTTAATGTTGTAAGTAAATGGAAAAATATCGTATGCTTTACAGCTGTTTCAGGAACACATGTCCCCCACAAATAGATGATTCTGAAGGAGAGTCTCAGTTTCTCAAATACTATGGGCTGTTAATTTGGCCTGGAGATTGGAGTTCTAAAACAGGTCCCTGTAGGGGAGGGAAGGGCTTCCTTTAAGGTCTGAGGCTCCTTGAAGTTCAAGGATCCCACCCACTCTCAAGACTCACCGTCCAGTTCTTGGGATTAAAACAATAATGCTCCCTCTCTGTGTTCTTCTACCTTGTCATAGCATATTTGCTACAGAATCACGGTAATGAGGCTTGGCTTTGTATAACAAATGATCAGTCATTCTTTGATTTATCCACTCAATAAACGTTTACTGAGCCTGGGTCAGGCTCTCTGCGAGGCACTGGGGATGCCAGACGATTAAGACATGGACGTTATCATGGAATGTATGGTCTTCAGAGAAGACATGAAAATATCTGCAGGGCAGTCTACTAAGGAGCCCTGGTGCCATGGTTGTTAAGCACTCAGCTACTAACTGAAAGGTCAGCGGTTCGAACCCACCAGCCACTCCGAGGGAGAAAAATGTGGCATTCTGCTTCCATAAAGAGTACAGGTTTGGAAACCCTATGGGGCAGTTCCACTCTGTCCTATAGGGTAGCTAGGAGTTGGAATCCACTTGATGGCAATGGGTATGAGTGCAATGAGTATGAGCCCTAAGTGCCTTTAAGAACAGTGGGAGCTTGGGAGAAGGGTGCCTCATCAGGCCCAAGGAGGCTGCAGATGGTTCACAAAGACAGCGGAGCTGGGAGGACAGTAGGCTAGGGCGTTTCAGGCAAAGCTGCAGAGCCATGAAAGGGCTTGGTGTGTTCAGGAAGCCCAACACAGCCTGGAATTTTGGAAATTTCAAGTGTGAGGTGGGGAGAGCTGGGTGGAAATTCTTTTGTTTCCATTTTCAAGAGATTAGGGTTGCATTCATCTCAGTTTACAGACCGCATGATCCGTAGGAAGCATGCCGT